TCTGTTATTATATTAATAATAATTGGTTTCATGAATAAATAATCGTGAACAGTAATGATTGTAATAGTAATTATTATTGTCTGTCATGATAATTAATGATTGATATCTGGAAAATTGATTTGTTGTTCCAGCACTTCAATATTCATTACAACAACTCGCAATTTACGCATTGCTCTCTAATCAGTGAATTTATCATGATTTAATGTGTCGGAATTGAACTTTGAGAAAAATAGTTGGTGATGTCTGGTTTTAGGGATAATTCCAGGGAATTCCGGGGATTCAATGGAACTTTTGGTGGACTGGTTCGTTATTTTGATTGAAAATTCCTTTCACTGTGCGATTTTTATTTATTTGATTAGTTTAGTATCGAGTCCTTGATTAATTATTTGTAACCTTCAACATTGTCACTGATTACTCATGATTTATCTCTGGAGTATTTCACTTTCAAGCAGTTTCATTTAATATCTCGAGTATCCAATAACCATTAAATATCCGAGATATTCCAGAAATGCTCCTCATTCCTAGGAATTCCCGTAAAATCCGAGTGGTTTTTCTCGAAGATATCGATAAACTCAGATAAATTATTAAATCCAATCAAGAATTTTCCATTTATTGATTTATTCAATTCCTATGAAGTGCAATTGAATGATTGATTTCGCATAAATGAGATTTATTTAATTAATTTCAGAAAATATTCAAAAGCATTCATGTAAAACTCCGAGGGATTAATACGTAATAATAATTTGGTATTAATTTCGGGAAAAATTGGCGCAAGAGAAAATTTCTGAAGAAATTGTCGTGAATAAAACACGTCTGCATGACGTGACGCATAAATCCAAAAACGAGGACAATAAATAACGACAATGAAAATATCTCCATGATTGCATTCCATAAATTAATCAAAAGACATCCAGACACTTGCACCTGGAAATAATTACAGGTCGTGTTATCGTTATCAAGATAACCCAGTAGTTAATCACTTGATTTTTATATCTCAAAGTGGATGTACATGGTGAATATTGTACCACAATGTTTCTCATTCTTTCTCTTTAATTTTCTTTCTTCTTTTTTTGGTGTAATAACTCCTGTCACGCAGGAACTGCGGATGGTTTATTATCGCGTGGAAGGGAGTACACAAACTACCTGTTATTCCCATTTTTATTTCACACAATCGTTGATAACGGACGAACAAACACAAACCGAATAGAGTAAATACGGGTTGAGGATCAATATCGTTGGTGCAATTTTTTCCATTTTCACGGTGTTTTTTTAACGAATATTTCAACATTTGTTACACTGAAAAATCACAAACCAGAGGGAATTGACTGGAGAAGAAAATAGAGGGCATGTGCTGTTTATGATTGCGGAAAAGCTTTGAGGGAAGAGAAGTAACTTTTCAGGGGATGAAAAACGTTTCTGGTGTGGAATTTCTTTATCATTTTTTATTCATCAGACAAAAAGTGTAAGGGTGTGGAAGTTTTTTACCTTTGAATCGCCCAGTGATAGAAGTTACAAAGAGTCAGGGCTTTTGTTTATGCCTCTGGCCGGTCTCTCTCAGTCTCTTTAACTCAGTTTGTGTGTTTTGTTGGAATGATTTTCCAGATTTTTGGAATTTATGAACAAAATGTCAAAATGTCAGGCGCAGCAGAGCGGAGGAATTTCGTATGTGAAATATCAGTGATTAGATAAAAGCGAAAGGTAATCACTATAATTGAATTTCGCTTTTCCGTGTGGAACTTGAAGTCATTCTGCAGCTACTAAATTTTTATTCGGGTTTGAGGCAATACTTTTTTTTAAACGATTTATTTAATTGTGAGAAATTCGACTGATTTCCAATTAATTATAGTCTTTAAAATTTTTAAATTTTAAATCTCCCCCCAAATTTCCCTTGATTTTTCCTTTGATTTTTTAACTTCAAATAAAATGCAAAGTAATTTATCGGCAAAGAAACTCATTACCAGAATTTTCAGAAAAATATTAAAATGAGAGAATTTTTACTGAAAAATTTCAATGTAAAAAATCCACTCAAGTGTAGAGTCAATAAATAATACACCCGACAAATAATTTATTAATCCCCAATTAAAATTCATTTTCGCAAGTTATCCTTCACCGTTGGCGAGCGCCATTACACGAAAACCCTATAATTTCTCTGTGCCCCCCACATTGACTGGTGCACATTCACTCCCCAACGAATCGCAGTATGTGGCTGTGATCACAAGTACCAGTTGCAATTGTGAGCGGTACTCACGTTGTAAGAACTTGCCCCGAGGGCCCTCGACTATCGAGGTAATATACTTGGGGCCCCATTCGACGGAGAGGCATGTGTGCTGATGTATTCCAACAAAACGCAGCCTCGGAAATATTTTCTCCCACTTTTCCTACACCGTTCTACTCCAACGTACCACCAATAGTATCCATATCCATCGTTGCATTGACAATTCATTACATTTCCACTCTAATACCACAAAATAAATGCCATCGGAGGTCAACCAGCATGAATTAAACCTTGTGGGTCAACCGACATGAATTTCCCTGCAGTTCGACTCGAAATTCTCTCCAAAATAGTGAAAGGAAGGGAATAAAAATATCTGTCTCATCGAAAGCTCTGAAAACAATTTATGACCCTCATAAACCTCTAAATCCTCAACGATAACTCACGCCAAATCCATCAACCCAACGATGTCTCTGTTTTTCACTCAAATACCGAAGTAAATATCGTCAGAGGTCAACCAGCATGAATGAAATCTTGTAGGTCAAATCGTGTCGGTCAGCCGACATCAATTCCCCCACAACTCAACCCAAAATTCATCAACCCACGGCCACACGTGTTTTCCATAAAAATCCCCCAAAGTAAACATCACCGAAGGTCACCCAGTCCGAACGAAATCCCGTAGGTCAACCAACATGAATCCCACCGCAACTCGACCCAAAATCCTCCCCAAAATAGTAAAAAAAAAAAAGTGAATAAAAATGTGTGTCGCACCAAAAGCTCTGAAAACGATTTATGACCTTCATAAACCTCCAAACCCTCGACGATAATTCACTGAAAAAGCATCTCTCCTTATTTTCTCGGAAAGAACAATGCACAAACCTCAGTCCCTTTAGCACTGGGCAACACCAACTCTGAGGATTGCAAATACGTGTCCTGGTGAGGTTGAGAGAGGAGTGGGAGGACACAGTAGTGGTTATCATCGCACGCGAATCCCTCGCGACTACGTGCCCTCTTTCCTGTGATTCCCATCGGTAGGTGAGGGCGTCCCATCACATGCACATATACACACGTATTTCTTGGAAACAGATAGACATGTAGTGCAATATAGGAACAACTGGTGCGTTTAACATGCACCCTTTGTCCTTTGTGCGTCACTTGCAAGAGCATACGCAACCCTCGTTCGTGCTGTTTCAGTAACTCCCTTACCTCTGGCTTACACCATTGCCCTGCACCAATGTGTACAGGAGTGCCAAATCCACGGTTAGACTGGCGACGTCTGCTGGGAGGGGGTGGAAACTCCATTCCCAGGCGGGTCAATTAGCATTCAATGCATAATTTTCCGTGTTAATTGTGCGACGAACAACCGCATAATTAATTCGATATATTCCAGGAAGTGTGTGTGTGCTGGGATATTATAGTGATATGCAATGAAACTGACGGGATTATCTGGAGGTTCGGGGTATGTCGGTAATGATGAGCATTACGTAAGATGGATCATTTTTTTTTATTTGTGTCAATGCCCTCGGGGATATAAATGCGAGAATTTGGAGTTTTTCACTATTGCAGGGCGATAGACATTTTTCTGTTGTTAATGTTGTATATTAATTATAATGTTTATTGACTGTTCATGAATTATTGATTTTCAGCGGAATGTGTTTGAGAGGTGCGTAATTATGGCAAATAATTTACTAATTGAAAGCAGTTTTCAATTTAATTTGATTCGCTAATTATGAAGTACACTTTCAGTCCTTGAATGGCCCCTTCGGCTCGATTAGTAATTCACAGGCTCGGCAAAAAGTGCTTTTCGTCACTATAACAATATATTCAATATATCCTTCATGTATGTTCTTTCATTTCACAATAAAAGCGAATAAAAAATACATCGAGTTCACTGAATGGAATGTCATTTGTTTAAAATTTACTTTTGAACGATATATTTTTTAATCATATACGTATTATAATTTTTTTAAACCTGAAAAAGAGTGTCGCTGTTCGTTTCATCGGCATTCGAAAAAAAAGTGAAATTTTTCGATTGAAGTTTAAAAAAGTACTTTCTGCCGGCTGCAATTACCCAGGTTGTCTTCTTAAAAGTACTTTTTTCTCACTTGTATTGTAATGTACTATTCATTCATGATTTCATTGAGTGGAAGAAAACTCGAAAGCTCGTCCTCTGGCTTGTCTTTATAGCATTGAGGGACAGAAGAGGGAGAAATAAAAGAGAGAGGAGACATCGGCGCGTGATTGGCTGAATGAGTAGTGTGGTGTAGTGTGGTGGGGGTACTGCGAGAGACGCTTGAGCGTCGACTGTTTCGGAGGCCGACAGTTGCGACGTGACTGCCGCGCGCGCTCTATCGTTTGTTGTGCGTCGAAAACGCGTACGCGATTTCGCGATCTATTAAGTTAATTCTATAAAATACCGACAAAAATCCGAGTGTAAGAACAGCCGGTGTGTACTCACACACAGAACGTGAGAATTTGAGTTGAAAGTGTTGTTCACGATGGATGAAGAAGTGTGAATTGTTTACGATCTCGTCGGAGTTGTTTGGAGTTTCCACGAGAATTCAGTGCCCATGGATGCAGTAGTGTACACTCGTTTGAGGATCTAAACCAGTTTTACCCCATCCTCGTGGATTATTCTGTGTTCAGCCTTCCCCTGATAGTGAAAAATATATAGTTTAAAATCAACAAAGTTTTACAACTTGTAACGCTTGAGTGCCGATGTTGGCGCGACGAGGTGCGCCGAGGCGTTTCTTCGGAAACTGTCGCGTGGTGGCACTGGTGAACGCTCAAGGGTGATCGACCTCATTTTTTTTCGTTGATATTCTTCTTATCGAGGAGCAACAGACACCAATCGGTGAGTGATTAATTACCTCCAAAATAATGTCCATGCAAAAACTATATCCGCACTTTCGCGAAAATAACAAAGGAAAACGATTGAGAGAGTGGCCGGTAAATTGGCGATGTTTGTGCGATTTCATTTTCATTTCGTAATTAGCCCTTGTGTTATTCTTTTTCTCGGTCTGGTCTGATATTTTTTATGATACGCTCCGAGTATTTTAGTGTCGACTCGAGCTGAGGAAAACGACGAAACCCCCGGGAGTTTGTGAGGGGCATTATTATTTGGTTATTCCCACGCGTGAACCACAGCATTTGGCCTTTTATGGGTTCAAGGACTGGTGAATTTATTGGGCATTTTGAATGATTATTCTTCTGGAGGAATAGTTGGTTATTCTTCTTGGTTTAATTTGCTTCTTCTTCATTGGCAGTTGGCCGTCTGGATGAGTGGACTGTAGTATTTTTTTGGCGTTAAAACCGGTTTCTTGTGTTGGGTGTTGTAAAGGGGAGCCCCTTCCAACGTAATATAAGGTGGTATAGTTGAGGTGGTTTTCTGCTGCTGTTCTGCTGCTGTGGTGGCCCTGATGGTTGTGCACTAGGGTGGGGGCTCTTTCTTGTTTGTCCCCACCAACCTGGCACTTCTCTTCTCGCCAGGACAACTTTTTAAATGCGTTATCGGCCATTGCAATAATGACATTCTTATTTCATCGGGGAAGTTGGAATAATGAAGTGGAAGTGTGGGCGCCTTGTTTTTGTGGAAAAATATTCGTAAACTTAGAGGACTTTTTTATCGTTTGGCACTAGTTTTTTTTCTTAAATTGCTCTTTCTTGCTTGAGATGCCCAAGAGAAATAATTCGTTTTATGGTTGAATTGGATTTCTCTTTTTTTGTTTCGATTGAGTCATGTTTTTTTACGTTCCTCAGTAACGAAATCATTTCATTTAATAAAATTTCGGAATAATTATTTTAATGATGCGAATTGTCATTGAATACTGCTCTTATCAGTTTGAAATGAAGATCTCTAACTCCCAAAGTTGTTTTGAAATTCAATCCATATATATTCCAAAAATAGGGGTTGGAATGGCTCCAAACGAAAATCCTCGGATGTTAGTGAATGAATAAATATTTATTAAAGTTGGATGAAATCGTCCTCGGTTTTTCCTTGAATAGAAATGAATCTACTTTATATTTTAGATATTCCCGAGGCACTCGGGATGGAATAAAAAAATATAACGTGCTATTTACGATAGTACATTCAATATACATATATATATTTTTTTTTTCTCTTGGGAGTGGTGCACCTGACCATGACAGCTGCACCTAAGGTAAATGCAACTGGGGTGGTTAATTTTGAATTGAAATAGGAGCAACGAGTATGAGGGGACAGCATGTACGTGTCCATTATGGTACGATCAGTGTGTATTAGATTGCGGGTTAAGTACTGTACCGAGCAGTTGGGTACAGGAGGAAACTAAAGGTAATTTGATATGTATAGAGCTGGTTAGTTTTCCCCTAGTTCTATGAAAATTGGCGGCATCATTTTGTGGGGAAAAAAATGATTCTCAGGTTTTCACCGGATGCATGAATGCCCCCGAGTGATTGACCCAAAATCTACAATTCGATATTTCAAAATGAAAATAAATCATTTTCAACTTTCCGGGAAATTATAACCGATAATTTTTCGTTTCAATCGCGATCCTCACTATTTTCTCCAATTTTTTGAGGACAATGAATTAATTATTTGGGTCTTGGATTCTTTTAGTATTTATTGAATGATAATGTGGTATATACCATATCGGGTTATGAATGAATTGTATG